TTATGTGAAGCTCAATTTAAATCATGCTGTTTATTGTGTCATGTAGGAAGGTTGGATTCAAAATGGCCTTCTGAGACTGTCATCAACTGCCTTGTGTAATTAAAGAGAAAACTGTAAAAGTTAAAAAGGTGTTTAAAAATAAATGAAGTTATATTACGGGTGACTTTTTTGTTTAGGTTTTTCATTCTACTGTTCTTTTCATTTGGATAATTCTTTTTCCGATTCAATATTTAATAGTTGGATAATTTGCTGTATATTTTATTCATTTGTTCTTTCATTTATCCCTGTACAGCTACTTTTATTACAGTTCTATGCCATGTGCATTGGGTTTTACTGCTCAGAGAAATGTACAAGGGCACTGAGTGGGGCAGCATTGCTTAGCTTGGTAGGTGCCCCTGCCCACACCCCATTCTGAAAATGCAGAACCCAGCATTCTTCTGAAATTCTTTTCTTCTCTCCTTCAAAACAACTATTTATGCACAAATACAATATTTGAATAATACAAGCTCAGTCTTGACTACTTCCTCCAGGCAGATTTTTCAAACCAGGAAATTATCAACATTCTTTTTAACTGGTGGCACAGTTGAATGAGATTCAAGATGTTTAGAGGTCTTTAAAAAACTTGTGTCTTTCAAAAAACCTGCATGGCGTATAAAGCTTTAAGACTACCAAGAAAACAAAACAAAACAAAAGACTAACAAGGATATTGATATGGTCCTCTCCCACCTTGCCCAACTAGTTATTATTATAGATTTCTACAAACTTGTTCTATTTACTCCATTAATTTTCTTTAGTTTTACATGGTCTTCCTGGCAAATATTTGAAGTTAAGAAAAAAAAGAAGGATGAGTAACCTACATTTGACTATCTTTTCCCCCCCGAGCTAATGTATGACCGCTTGCAAAGCCCCCTCCTTAATCCACAAGAGTTGTGACATTTTGTTAATAAACCAGTTTGGTCATCTACTAAAGGACACTGGCCATTTTCTTCTCATTGCTGTACCCATTACTTGCTAATTATTGCTGCTATTTCTTCAGATGATGCAGGCCACTCTTTGACTGCATGTCTGCTTTTGCTGAATACAGATCCTGCTTTGTCTGGATACCACCACTTTTGTCATTTCTGCTTATTTTCTGCTGCGCACCACTTCTCCTTTTTTTTTTTTTTTTGAAATGGACTCTTACTCTGTCACCCAGGTTGAGGTACAGTGGCATGATCTTGACTCACTGCAACCTCTGCCTCCACCTCCCAAGGTAGCTGAGATTACAAGTGCGTGCCACCATGCCTAGCTAATTTTTGTACTTTTAGCAGAGATAGGGTTTTGCCACGTTGGCCAGGCTGGTCTCAAACTCCTGGCCTCAAGTGATCCGCCCACCTCTGCCTCCTGAAGTGCTAGGATAACAGATGTGAGCCACCCACCTGGCCTGGTTCCCCATTCTTATAGTATAGGTTCCCTGTGGGGCCACAAAGGGATTCTTATAAAGTAGGAGGAGAATGTCTTTTTCTTTTGTTCTCTATTTTTTAATGGGAAACTAGAGCAGTGTTGTTTGTGCATCAGAGCATTTTGAGAAATATCTTGTACATTTTTTTAGTCCTCCCACCACCGTTGGACCTAGAAATGGATCATTGGGTACAGAGCTGGAAGAGAAGTCCAGGTCATAGACTCTATACTGTACTATGTTCAGAATTTCCCCTGTGTCCAAACACAGAGAATTAATGGCTTGAGTCTTGGCTTTGAAGCTCTTCACAGAGCTCATTTTACTTATTCTCCTTGAAACAGTGTAATTTTTAAAAATTAATTTAGTACTTTCAAACTTAGTGAAGATATGGGGTAGTGGACCTATCAGTTTTTCAAGTACAAGGTGTTTTTCTGCCTCTTAGAAATAGCCAGTGTAGATTATAATGAAAACTATACTCAACTCTCCCATTTCTGTTATCAGGAGAAAGTTTTGAAAATTATTATAAAATTGACTCAAACTGAAACATAGAATTTCAAGTGTTGTCTTCTTTTGATATGTAAGTAAAGGTGCAGTCTTTTGGTTTCATCTGTAAAATTTCATCTATATTTCATTTACATGATAAGACATTTTTATATAGCAACAAACAGCTGAACTTCAGCCTTATGCAAATATAAATTAGTATTACTGGTATCTGAATAAAAACTAAATTGAGGAGTATGATTTTTATTTTTCTAGTATAGTCTAGAAATTGGTAACTTTTGATGCTCAGTGTCAGAGGAAGTATGTACCTGCTTTACCGTATCTTTTCTTTTCTTCTTGCAGTGAAATATTAACCCATTTGCATGTCCTAATTCGAATATCTTCTCTTATGTAGTAACTTCTCCACATCTGAATGTTTTTCCTTCATAAACCACCTACTGTGCTTAGTATTTATTTATTTCATACTGTGAGATTACCAGTATGGTCAGAGATCATATTTATTTTTTTTTTCCTGTAGAAATTTGTATAGTGATAGACCGGTAACAGCAAGCAGCAACTGCAGTGTTAAGATAATTGAGTAAATGTATCCTGAAAGCAGTCCTGATGTAGGTACTTTATTATACCCATTTTATAGCTAGGGGAAAGAAATAGAGAAATTAGGTAATTTGTTTAAGTTAGGCTACTAAGCTGAGAAATTAGAATAAGAAAACAGGCAGGCAGATTCTAGAATCCACACATTAAGCTAAATAGATGCAAAATAAATATTTAAATCATTAACTGATATTTTAAAACAAACATTTCAGTCTTCACACTTCCAAATGAGAAGGATGCAGTTTACTTATTATAATACAGTAAGTATTTTAGTTAAGAAAAAGCTTAACTGTAAGATGACAATTGTAAAATAAGCCTCATAAAACTAACTGAAAGCAATTCCAAAGAACACTGCTTTGGAAACATTTTGAGTAATAGTGGCTCACTAGAGTCACTTCCAAAGTGATAACTCTGAAAGGTAATACTCAGTTGAACTGAAGAATTAGTAACTAGTTTAATATCCCTTTTTCTCTACTGCTTGCTGATAATGAACTGCAGTCTTTCTCTTAGTAATGCAGTCCACTAGCTTTCGAACTCCATGCCTGTATGTAATGGAAGCCAGCATCTAGGTACAGTAGGGCAGATCTGGGGATTGAGGGGTTCCTTATTTCATCTCTTACCTTTAAAGGCATCTAATACAAGAAAGAAAGTAAATTCAGATCAACTCAAAATTTGCTATTATAGCCTGTTTCCTCCTTACCCTTTCCAACTTCACCTTTCTGTCACTATCCACTGTGCGTTTTAATCTACTGTTAACCTTGGGTCATGCCATCTTTTTACTCGAACAACTGTATATACGCTCTCCCACAACTCTGTCTACCTCACTACAATAGAGTACTGTGATTACAAACAGGCTCTGGAACTAGTCTGTGTAGATCCAAAGCCTACCTCCACCACCTGCTAGCTATGTGACCACTCTGTGCCTCAGTTTCCTCAGGAATACTGATGACACTACCTCAAAGAATAGCTATGAGGATTAACAGAGTTAATACATGTAAAATGTTTAGAACAAGTATGTGTTATCTGTTGTTATCACCATCGTTTTCTTCCTCTTCTTTTTCTCCATCCTCCTCGTTGTCGTCGTCATCATCGTCGTCGTTGTCATTGTCGTCATCGTCATCGTCATCGTCATCATCATCATCATCATCAGTTGGTGAAATCCTATCCTTCTTTGAGGGCCCACTAACATTTCACAACTTCTCTGAGCTTTCTCATAGCCCAGCTGATAAGGCAGCATTGGGCCCCTCTTCTGTGCTGCCACATTTTTCACTCTGTCATTCCAGTCCTTAGCATACTGTATCTCATTAGTTGAACGTGCATCTGTTCCTTGATTGTAAGTGCATTGAGGTCATATGTAAGGATGAAGGAGGGGCCAAGGCAGTTTGTACTATGTCTGATATTATTTTGGATTATCAGCCATATGGATACTATGGGAAATATTTTTAGTCACTCCTAATGTTAAAGAAACTGAACAAGTTTTCCTCCATTAAAACATATATTAAAATATTTTTCAAACTTCATCATTCAGAAGTTTACTGGAAAGAACATTTCTTTCATGATTTCTATGAAGAAAATGTCCATAGTTTAAATTATTGTGTGTATTTCTAATATGTAGTATAACATAAATACAGTGTAGTACTATATATATTTCTAAGGAAACATTTGAAAATTAGATAAATTCCTTTCAAATATTTGTAAAATGTTGACCTTTTTTCTAATGCAGACTAGCCTTCTCCCAATCAGTCTAAATCGATGAGGTAGTACTTGATTTAAAAAAAAGATATAGTGTCCATCCCTAGCCCTTGTGGTTAAAATGAGAGGAAATATAGGATGTATATTAATACTCTCTTGTTTTTTGAAAAAAACCCCCACAGAATAGAATAATCTGGATCCATTGTAACATGCAGATTAACAAATTAAACTGAATGCTAATGTGGTTTCAGAGTTTACTTTTAAGTAATTGTATTTCTTATAATAGTGACTATATACCATTTACCTTGCAAATTCCACTTTAATTAGCCTGTATATATGTGAGATATTGTAAATATTTGCTTTACATACCAAAAATGCCCCATAAAATGTGCTCGTACTTAATAACTACCTAACAGATGTTTCCTTTCCTTAAAAATAAAACTTAAAAAAATGCTTAAATACTAAATAATTCTAAATATACTCAGAGTCTTAACCAAACATATGCTATTGAAAACCTAAATACTATATATATTCTTCTTACCACATTTCTCAATGTGATGACATACTAAATCCAGGAAAAGAAGTGTATTTTTCCTTTTTCTAGAGTTTATTTCTGGATGGTTAACCAAGGATACACTAGAGCATGTTTATTCTAATGGGCCATATTTCAAATAACAGTTGTGGCAAATGATTCTTTTTACTATTTCTAAGGTATCTTGATATTATTGAAAATAGAAGATAATTAATTGGCATCTCTTTTTAATTATTTTTAAAACAGGACAGAGATTCCTTCTGCCATCAGATGTCTTTCTGCTTGACTGAACTGCACCTGTGGTCTTTGAAGAATACCTTACACATTGCGGGTAAATGAGCTCTGGATTAATTTCAATATTTTTCAAATATGTTACACCATTATAAATAAGTATTAGCAAAGATTAGAGCCTGAATTCTCCAGCTGGAATTGCATTCTTTCTTTATTCTTAATGAAAAATTGGTTAATGGGAAATAATTCCTTTTAATTACTCTTACTAACTTAATATTTACAGCTTGAGTTAGGTTTTTATTTTTGTAAATTAATTTTATTAACTTAATGTTTGATCCCTTTTATGATACACACATGTTCAATTTTTTTTCTGGGATTGTTCATAATAACATATTCATAAATATGTACAGCATAGCTAATGGTAAAGGCATTTCTATTTGATTTAAAATAACATTTCAAACATATAGCTAAGATGTACAGTTATTTTCATGTTCTTCACATTTTTTGGGGGGAGGATTATATGTGTGTTTTAATAATGCTTATTAACATAGGAATAATATATTTTATAGGAAATATCTTTTTAAAAATATACAAAGTAACAGTTGTATTTAGGAGGACAAAATTATTTATATTTCTTAAGCATCATTACAAAGAAAATGGCTTACCTTGCAAAATACCATTTTTCCATATCAAATATAGAATTAAGGATGACTGTGATTATTTTCATCAAGTTTATCTATTTAAAAATGTATAAAGATTGAAATTTCAATTAAAGTAAGTGAATTTAACATTCATTTGCTTTCTGTTAAAATTCTTCTAAAATGACAATAAAGGAATAAAAATAAGGAAGGCATAAACCCTTTTGAGAGAGGGGACAACTGAAATTGGACAAATTTTGGAAGGTGGGAGGGAAAGAGGAATTAGTAGAGCTGAAAAACCTGAATATAAATTGCCTGCAGAGGAGAGTTCCAATGACAGCCAATTTATGACTCAAAATTTTGGAAAGATACAGAAATTTGAGGAGCCAGATATTGTAGAAGATGGTATGTGTCATGAGACTGATGATAAAGGAAGATGCAAGTTTGCAAAAGAAGTTGTGAGATACCTTTCATGCTGTGGACATATTAAATTAAGGAGGCTCTAAAGTTGGGAACACCAGGGCCAGTGAAAAAAGACATGCTGAACTGGAAACAGACCTGAAATGGAAGGAGGCCTACATACTGATGGGTAAGGTCTTCTTAATCTCACTTTGTTCTGAGAATGTCATACCCATTTGTACACTTTCCAAGAAAGAAGGAGCTTGAGATAGTCCTCTCTGGAAGGATTGCATGACCCTAGAAAGAAGGCTTATATACATAGATGTTTGAGGGACTCCTTTGGTGAAATACTCCGGTCCTTGGCCTATCAGTGAAGCCCACCAGTTGGCAAGCTCTAATTGTGTACACAGGGCTTCCAGTCAGCTTTTTAGTACCTTACTTGTAAATACAGAGAACTAAGGATCACTAGGTATTTGAGGAATATCTTCAACAGGAAAGAAAACAAAAGTGAATAGATGAATGGATTTCTGAAGAAATAGAGATAATGTACGAAGGGGGGAAAAAAGTACAACAGAAACCTAAGAAAACATACTAAATCCATGAAACAAGAAACAAAAACGGAAGCGTCAGAAAACATTTGAAGTTATACAGATATCTTGAAAAGTAAAAATATGTTACAGGAAAAAATTCAAAACTCAAAAGTGTAAAAGAAATCTCCTCAGAAAATAGAAAAAAGAAATTTTACTGCTGGTGGAAATCTTTAATTGAAATATTTTCTTCTCTAATCATAATTGCCCATTTTTCATCTTATTCCCTTATTCTCATATATCTAGGTTTTATGCTTCTTTGAGACCGTTAATCTTTTAATCCCTTGATATTCTCCTAGTCCATTGGGCCTTCTTAGCTTATCTTCCTACCCAGCTTGGACCCCATGGTTGAAAGTCTGAGCTGTTCCATCTTGATCCCCTTTTACCCCTTATCTTCTGTTCATGCCGAACAAACTCCTTTCCTGCCCTTCCATCAGTCCTAAAGTTTTCCATCCCTCTTTCTTCTATTCTGAGGCAGTGAATGGTTTTAGAGAAAAATCACACAGTGGTGCACAGTAGCCCCATGGAAATAGTCTTTAACCCCAACTGCATTTTTGCAGGGCCTCTCTATTGGGACATTCTTCTTCTGTTTAACCTTTTATGAATCCTACTTCTTTAGGACTCAGCTTTATTAAGTCACTTAGAGAAGCCTTTCCTCCTATCTGTACTAAATTAGTAACCCTATTAATGTAACCCTATTATGCTTGATTAGTAACCCTATTATGCTTGATGTTTATTTTTAAAATGTTTGATATAATCACAAACTTATAGAAAAATTGTCAATACAGAGAATCTTTTTTTCTTGGACCATTTGAGAGTAAGTTGTAGCCTGATGCTTGATCACCTCCAGATATATTCGTGTATGTATCCTACCAAAAGAATTTTGTCTTGCATTACTGTATAGCCATCGATATCAGGAAATTAACAATGATGTACTTCAGTCTAAATGGACCAGTTCACCTGTTGTCCCATCTTTGTTCTTTTTTTGGAAAAGGATTTTGTTCACAGTAACACATTGTTTGTTACCATGTTTCTTTAGTGTCCTTCATTCTTGTCATCCTTCATCCTTTTTCTTTTTTTAAGTTTCATTACCTTAACATTTTTTAAGGTACTAGACCAGTTTTTGTGTAGGATGTTCCTAAGTTTGGTTATATTGAAATTTCCTCACAATTAGATTCAGGTTATGCATTTTTGATGGGAATATCTCACAAATGATGCTATATTCTCAATGCATCCTATCAGGTGGTACATAATTTCAGTCTGTCCCTTTCCTGATGATACTCATGATTACCTGATTAAGACAGTGTCTGCTAGGCTTCTCCACTGCAAAGTTAATTTCTTCTTTGTTACTGCTAAGTATTTCGTAGGGAAGTACCGTGAAAGTATGTAAATATCCTGTTCCTGATCACACTTTAAATATCTTATTATATATTATCAATTATCAATAGATTAAAAAAGCCTTTTTATTGAAATATAGTGTATGTAGTGAAAAGTGTAGACATCATAAGATTATGTTGTGAACTATCAGAATGTGAAAACACCCATAAAATCACCACCCAGGGGAACAAATAAAATAACAGTATCCAAGAAGTTCTACTCATGATTTTTCCCAATCAATCCTTATTAGATATATTCGGTCTAGAGACATGAACTGCATTCTTTAAAATTGTATGCATCTACTAATGGCATGATGAATAAAACAGAGCCTCAACAAGTACACACAGTTGACTATTTTGAAAGACTATATTGGAAAAGTTAATTGTAGCAGTAATACTTTTTTTGGTTTTATCATGCAGTTTGAGAAAGTTTAGGGCAGTCAGTCACTAGGGGGCAGCCTGTACTGCTTTCACCTCTTTACAAACAGTTGTATACTCCTTATCCTTGTTAGTAACTGAGAATTACTTTACATGGAAGAAAACAAACTTTCCTTCAATGAAAGAAATACTTTTTTATTCATAGATATGAAGAAAATGGACATAATTATTTTATTCTTTTATATTTAAATTGCAATACTTTCTTGGTTAAATGAATCCTGACATCTGGGAAGACTAGCTTTGCTTCTTAGGTAGCCTCAGTAAAGTGTCCAAATTTGAGCAGGTTTAGAAGGGGTTTTCCCAGTCTAAACAAGTTTCAGATAATAATTTATCCAAAGTTTCCTCTAATCTTCCCTTTCTCTTCTGCGGATTTCTCCCAAATGCCATAGGATAGGAACTAGACTCTTGAGCTAAATTGGAGAAAAGAAAACCACAGCTCAGAATCCAACAGGGCATTTTCTTCCATGCACTGATTTCATTTGGCATTGCTTAGTGGCAGTTCCTTTTGGTAGCGCCCTGTGAAAAATATCAGAGGAAGTGTGAAATAGAAAACTTGGTCTTTCTTGATTTCAGTTCTTTACTAATCTTTTTCTCATGCCATTCTAGTTTTGTATAAATCTTTTCTCATTAGATTGATAAACTTTCCAGTTTCTGCATATCCCAAGAGTATATGAACTTATCTCCAGATGCTTTTGAGCCATTTTATTTCTAGTAACATAAGGAGACTGTTTTCTGCTTTTCTCCCTCCCCCTCCCCCAGTAAAGTATGGCTTGGCTTTTTATTCTCTGGGTCTTTTAAACCACAATTTAATGTTATTTCTTCCTTTCTATAGATAGAGACATTGGGATCTACCAGTATTATGACAAGAAAGATCCACCAGGTAAAGTACCTATTCTGTGCAATTAATTTTTATTAACTAAATATTCTAAACCATGAAGTACTGACTGTTAAAAACCCTCTTCTTATGAGCTTTAGATAAATTCTAGAATTTTAAGAAAAGTCCCTTCAGTTCTTTAGAAAAATGCTGAGGTTGATATTGATCTGTTCTATATAAAATAAAGTAATATCGAGAAAATGCTGTAGAAGGACATGAAAATTTTCATTTTACTCTTGATCAGACTGATAACAGGGCAGTCTATTCACGTGTATTTATCAGTGTCCCAGTAGAGGGCATTGTTAATGCATAGGTCCTACTGATGCTGGCCTCCTGGATCCTCACCTAATATCTGAAATAGGCATTTCTGAGTGAATGATCAATTTTCCTTATCTGATTAATCCTGTTAATCCCTGAAGTTTTATGATGGGCCAAAAGGTCTTTCTAGCTAGAGTTACTTCCTGTTTTGGTCTCTGTTGAAGTGGGCTGTGTGAGCATCCTATGTGCTTAGCTTAGTGGTTAATAGGCTGACTTCACGGTTCTGATGACAGACTGAAGCAGTTTCTGTTCTGGGCTCTGTTGCACTTTCCTATCTGATGAGAGTGGAAGCTCAGGATATTGGTCCACCTGTTGTGCCCTTTCACTGCAAATATAGGAAATATCTCTATGAAATGAAAACATCCAAATTATGGCATGTTTTTCAACTGTTCTTTTAGAACCTTGGCATAATTTATTAATTTCAGTAATACATGTAATGTTAATATATGTGTACATATTAAAATACAAGGCATTATAATAAAAATAAATTCTACCTTTGTTTTTTCTTTCTATCCCTTCTGCCACAATATCCGCGACAGAGCATGGTAATTTAGAAGAAAAGCAGAAGCTGGCAGAGTGTAAGCCTACCTTATATTTTTTTGGAACTATAAAACTGAAAAGTTCGGTATTATAAAATATTCATCTGGAACAAATAGGAAACATTATTCCCTCCAAATTTCTTATAATTACAAATTCTCATTGCTTAGTAATATAAACATATGACTAACAATTGTATTTGTCAGGCCTTTACAAATGTATGTTTATGTAAACATAAACTTTCTTAATGAACTATGTTATTTAGTATATTTAAGATAATTGTACCAAGCTTAAATTAAACACTTAATTATTAATACTTTGCCAACATTGTTAACATTTCTTAAGAAAATAATATTTATAATATCAGTATTAGCATTTTACTCACTCTAGTCTTTTTTGATCTCCAGTTTATAAGTGTATATAAGTATATTATGGCTACAAGGTAATATGGTTTTAATGACTTAAAATTAAACATACATTAAGATTTTTATGGACTATAGTTAGAGCTGAAAATCCCATTCGTTTTCTTGTGTGGTTTTTTTTTTTTTTTGAGAGGGAGTTTTGCTCTTGTTGCCCAGGCTGGAGTGCAATGGTGCAATCTTGACTCACTGCAACCTCTGCTTCCCAGGTTCAAGTGATTCTCCTGCCTCAGCTTCCCGAGTAGCTGGGATTACAGATGTGCCACCATGCCCAGCTAATTTTGTATTGTTAGTAGAGGCAGGGTTTCTCCATTTTGATCAGGCCGGTCTCGAATTCCTGACCTTAGGTGATCTGCCCGCCTCCGCCTCCTAAAGGGCTGAGATTACAGGTGTGAGCCACCTCGCCTGGCTTTTTTTCTTGTTTTTTTTTTTTTTTTTTTTTTTTTTTGAGATGGAATTTCACTCGATACCCAGGCTGGAGTGCAATGGCGTGATCTTGGCTCACCGCAACCTCCGCCTCCTGGGTTCAGGCAATTCTCCTGCCTCAGCCTCCTGAGTAGCTGGGATTACAGGCACGAGCTACCATGCCCAGCTAATGTTTTGTATTTTTAGTAGAGACAGGGTTTCACCATGTTGACAAGGATGGTCTCTATCTCTCGACCTCGTGATCCACCCGCCTCGGCCTCCCAAAGTGCTGGGATTACAGGCTTGAGCCACAGCGCTTGGCCTTTTCTTGTTTTTTAAATGATTGAACTGACATTTAATTTTGAAAACTACTGTGTTAGTAACCGCAACACAGATTTAAAAATTTGCACTTACATTCTACACATCAGAATTGTTTATAGATCAAATTCATTTACTGAAATAAGATGTATAGCAATTCTACTCTCAAATTTAAGTATCTATGTGTACTATATATATGTATATGCACATACAACACATACATATGCACAAATATACTTATGACTGTTATTTGGAATTATTAATGAGGAGAATCCAAAGATGAATTCATTTTTCTGATGAAACAGATATGAGTTTAACATTTTACAATTATTTTAAACAGAACTATTTTTAATTTATTTTAGGCTAACATGACTACTAAATAATTTTATCTTTAAATTAAATTTATTTAAAACAAAACAAAGTCTTATCATTATGGTATATACTTTAAAGAGAGCTATTCTTAATTAAAAAGAGCACTATTAGGGCCTTATTTGTTAAAACTTGGATTTCCCTCAGATTTTTCCATAGTTTTAAAATGTCGTGCTTTGATGCTTAAACTTCATATATTTTATGTAAATTTTTATTTTTAATTTTTTTTCATTTTTACATTTTATTTCTTTGCTCATTATATTCATTTACTCATAATTTTTTTAGGTCTGAGTACAGGCTAGTTGCAGAATTTGGAATTTCTTTTGGATTGAACATTTAATTATTTACATGAAAAATTACTTTCTTGGTAAAGAGTACATCACTTACAATGAATTACTAGATTCACAAGCCTAGCAAACTTTTCCAGGGATTCTCCAAGCCTTGTTGGTTGTCATCGTAAAATTATGATTAGGGAGATTATTTTGTGGTAAAAATCCTGTTCCTATGACAAAGCCTTTCAAAAGGCTGTTATTTGATGATGGAGATGAAGCCTACTTCCTCTCAATTATAGAGGTGTTTTATTTTAATCTTCCTAAGGCACACTGCTAAGCAGAATTTCCTTTTTAAAAAATCTTGTTTAACTAACTATAGTACATGTTTTATTTGCCAGCACGAGATTATCCTTGGACGCTCAAAAACAGACGCCCAGAAAAACTCCGAGACTCACTCAAAGAGTTGGAGGTATCTTTCAAAAAGTTTCAAAAATGGCAACAAACAAATCTGTTTTTAAAACATCTTTCAACAGCTTTAATTTTCATAAAGGATCAACTCTCATGGTGATGATAGCTTTGCTTTTGTCCAGTGATGAGTTCCAAAACAGTTGCGTCTTTGTGTGGCATGTTGATCTTTTTTTGCTTGCAAGTCAGAGACAGTTTAACTGATAATGACAATGTGTATAGCCAACTGCACTCTCTCTTTTTCTGTTGTACTTCAGGAGCTGATGCAAAACAGTCAGTGTGTGCTGAGCAAATGGAAGAACAAATATGTCTGTCAGGTAAAATGGTTTGACAAGCCTTTGCAGTGTTTAACCAATGGAGCTGAAAACTATGTAGTCATTGGTATTCTTGTGTTATGATAGGTAATGGACAAAAACTTTTTTTAGCAGTGGATATTTCATAGTTTGAATTCTAGTCATTCTAGAGCTAACATTAGACAGATTGACATAGGACAACAGGCTCATTAATGAGTATTAATCACTGTAGTTGTATAGTTGTACTGACATGATAAACACTAATAAAAATCTTTTCATATTGTATTTTTGTTTGAAGTGGTCTCAATGTCGTAGTAGATGTTTGCTGGCATAGATTTAATTATATATATATATATGAATGTATGTATGTATTGTTTTAAGATCTGGGATACATGTGCATAATGTACAGGTTTGTTACATAGGTATGCATGTGCCATGGTGGTTTGCTGCACCCATCAACCATCTACATTAGGTATTTCTTCTAATGCTATCCCTCTTGTAGCCCTCGCCTCTGCGACCTCCTGATAGGCCTTGGTGTGTGGTGTTCCCCTACCTGTGTCCATGTGTTCTCATTGTTCAACTCCAATTTATGAGTGAGAACATGTGGTGGTTGGTTTTCTGTTCTTGCGTTAGTTTGCTGAGAATGATGGTTTCCAGCTTCATTCATGTCCCTGCAAAGACATGAACTCATCTTTTTTTTGTGGCTGCACAGTATTCCATGGTGTATATGTGCCACATTTTCTTTACTCAGTCTATCATTGATGGTCATCTGGGTTTGTTCCAAGTCTTTGCTATTGTGAACAGTGCTGCGATAAACCTATGTGTGCATGTGTCTTTATACTAGAATGATCTATAATCCTTTGGGTATATACCCAGTAATGGAATTGCTGGGTCAAATGGTATTTTTGGTTCTAGATCCTTGAGGAATCACCACACTGTCTTCAACAATGATTGAACTAATTTACACTCACACCAACAGTGTAAAAGTGTTCCTGTTTCTCCACATCCTCTCCAGCATCTGTTGTTTCCTGACTTTTTAATGATCACCATTCTAACTGGTGTGAGATGGTATCTCATTGTGGTTTTGGTTTGGATTTCTCTAATGACCAGTGATGATGAGCTTTCAGCTTTTTAAATATGTTTATTGGCCTCATAAATGTCTTCTTTTGAGAAGTGTCTGTACATATCCTTTGCTCACTTTCTGATGTGGTTGCTTGTTTTTTTTGTAAGTTTAAGTTCTTTGTAGATTTTGGATGTTGGCCCTTTGTCAGATGGATAGATTGCAAAATTTTTCTCCCATTTTGTAGGTTGCCTTTCATTCCAATGGTAGTTTCTTCTGCTGTGCAGAAGCTCTTTAGTTTAATTAGGTCCCATTTGTCAATTTTGGCCCTTGTTGCCATTGCTTTTGGTGTTTTAGTCATGAAGTCTTTTCTCATGCCTATGTCCTGAATGGTATTGTCTAGGTTTTCTTCTAGGGCTTTTATGGTTTTAGGTCTTACGTTTAAGTCTTTAATCCATCTTGAGTTAATTTTTGTATAAGGTGTAAGGAAGGGGTCCAATTTCAGTTTTCTGCATATGGCTAGCCAGTTTTCCCAGCACCGTTTATTTCTTCTTTGCTTGTTTTTGTCAGGTTTGCCAAAGATCAGATGGTTGTAGATGTATGATGTTTTTCTGAGGCCTCTGTTCTGTTCCCTTGGTCTGTAGGTCTGTTTTGGTACCAGTACCATGCTGTTTTGGTTACTGTAGCCTTGTAGTATAGTTTGAAGTCAGGCACCGTGATACCTCCAGCTTTGTTCTTTTTCTTAGGATTGTCTTGGCTATGTGGGCTCTTTTTTAGTTCCATATGAAATTTAAGGTAGTTTTTTCTAAGTCCGTGGAGAAAGTCAGTGGTAGCATGCTGGGCATAGCACTGAATCTATAAATTACTTTGGGTAGTATGGCCATTTTCATGATATTGATTCTTCCTATTCATAAGCATGGATATGTTTTTTCATTCATTTGTGTCTTCTCTTATTTCCTTGAGCAATGGTTTGTAGTTCTCCTTGAAGAGGTCCTTCACATCCCTTGTAATTTGTATTCTTAAGTATTTTACTCTCTTTGTAGCAATTGTGAATGGGAGTTCACTCATGATTTGGCTCTCTGTTTCTCTATAATTGGTGTATTGGAATGCTTGTGATTTTTGCACATTGATTTTGTATCCTCAGTGTTTGCTTCAGTTGCATGTTAGCTTGAGATTTTGGGCTGAGACAGTAGGGTCTTCTAAATATACAATCATGTCATCTGCAAAAAGACAATTTGACTTCCTCTCTTCCTAATTGGATACCCTTTATTTCTTTCTCTTGCCTGATTACCCTGGCCAGAACTTTCAATACTATGTTGAATAGAGTGGTGAGAGAGGACATCCTTGTCTTGTGCCAGGTTTCAAGGGGAATGCTTCCAGCTTTTGCCCATTTAGTATGATCTTGGCTGTGGGTTTGTCATAAATAGCTCTTACTATTTTGAGAAATGTTCAATCAGTACCTAGCTTATTGAGCATTTTTAGCATGGTGGCATGTTGAATTTTATTAAAGGCCTTTTCTGCATCTATTAAGATGATCATGCAGTTTTTGTCATTGGTTCTGTTTATATGATGGATTACATTTATTGATTTGTGTATATTGAACCAGACTTGCATCCCAGGGATGAAGCTGACTTGATCATGTTAGATAAGCTTTTTGATGTGCTGCTGGATTTTTTTTGGCCAGTATTTTATTGAGCTCTGCTCTGGTCTTAGTTATTTCTTGTTGTCTCCTAGCTTTTGAATTTGTTTGCTTTGCTTCTCTACTTGCTTTAATTGTGATGTTAGGATGTCGGTTTTAGATCTTTCCTGCTTTCTCCTGTGGGCATTTAGTGCTGTAAATTTCCCTCTAACAGCTCCTTTAGCTGTATCCAAGAATCTGGTACATTGTCTTTGTTCTCATTGGTTTCCAAGAACTTATTTATTTCTGTCTTAAACTTGTTATTTACCCAGTATTCATTCATAAGCAGGTTGTTCAGTTTCTATGTAGTCATGCAATTTTGAGAGAGTTTCTTAATTTTAAGTTCTTTTTTGATTGGCACTGTGGTCTGAGAGAGTGTTTGTTACGATTTATGTTCTTTTGCATTTGCTGAGGAGTGTTTTACTTCCAATTATGTCGTTAATTTTAGAATAAGTTTGATGTGGTGCCAAGAAGAATGTGTATTATGTTGATTTCAGGTGGAGAGTTTTGTAGATGTCTGTTAGGTCTGCTTGGTCCAGAGCTGAGTTCAATCTTGAATATTCTTGTTAATTTTCTGTCTCGTTGATGTGTCTAATATTGAAAGTGGGGTGTTAAAGTCTCCCACTATTATTATGTGGGAGTCTAAGTCTCTTTGTAGGTCTCTAAGAGCTTGCTTTCTGAATCTGGGTGCTCCTGTATTGGGTGCATATATATTCAGGATAGTTAGCTTTTCTTGTTGCATTGATCCCTTTACCATTATGTAATGCCCTTCTTTGTCTCTTTTGATCTTTGTTGCTTTGAAGTGTCTTTTATCAGAGGGTAGTATTGTGATACCTGCTTTTTTTTTCCTTTCCATTTGCTTGGTACATATTTCTCCATTCCTTTATTTGAGCCTATGTGTGTCCTTGCATGTGAGATGGGTCTCCCGTATACAGCACAGCGATGAGTCTTGACTCTTGATCCAGTTTGGCAGTCTGTGTCTTTTAATTGGGGCATTTAGTCTATTTACATTTAAGGTTAATATTGTTATGTGTGAATTTGATCCTGTCAATCTGATGCTAGCTGGTTATTTTGCCAGTTGGTTGATTCAGTTTCTTCATAGTGTCGATGGTCTTTACAATTTGGGATGTTTTTGCAGTGGCTGGTACTGATTGTTCAGTTTCTATGTGTAGTGGTTCCTTCAGGAGCTCTTGTAAGGTAGGCCTGGTGGTGACAAAATCTCTCAGCATTTGCTTGGCTATGAAGGATTTTATTTCTTTTTTGCTTATGAAGCTTAGTTTGGCTGGATATGAAATACTGGGTTGAAAATTCTTTTCTTTAAGAATGTTGAATATTAGGCTCCATTCCTTCTGGCTTGTAGGGTTTCTGCTGAGAGATCTGCTGTTAGTCTGATCTCTTTGTGAGTAACCCGATCTTTCTGTCTGATTGCCCTTAAATTTTTTCCTTCATTTCAACTTTGGTGAGTCTGACAACTATGTGTCGTGGGGTTGCTCTTCTCAAGGAGTATCTTTGTGGTGTTCTCTGTATTTCCTGAATTTGAATGTTGGCCTGCCTTGCTAGGTTGGGGAAGTTCTCCGGGATAATATGCTGAAGAGTGTTTTCCAACTTGCTTCCATTTCTCCCTGTCACTTTCAGATACACCAATCAAATGCAGGTTTGGTCTTTCCACATATTTATTGGAGGCTTTATTTGTTTGTTTTTATTCTTTTTTCTCTAATGTTGTCTTCATACTTTATTGCATTACATTTATCTTCAATCTCTGATATCCTTTCTTCTGCTTGCTCGATTTGGCCATTGATACTTGTGTGTGTTTCGCGAGTTTCTTGTGCTATGTTTTTCTCAGCTCCATCAGGTAACTTTTGTTTTTCTCCAAACAGGTTGTTTTAGTTAGCAATTCTTATAACCTATTTTCCAGGTCCTTAGCTTCCTTACATTGGGTTAGAACATGCTCGTTTAGCTCAGAGGAGTTTGTCATTACGCATCTCCTGAAGCTTACGTCTGTCAATTCATCAAACTCATTCTCAGTCTGGTTTTGTTCCATTGCTGATGAGGAGTTGTGATCCTTTGGAGGAGAAGAGGCATTGTGGTTTTTTAGAATTTCCAGTCTTTCTTTTAGCTGTTTTTTTCTTTATCTTTGTGGATTTATCTACCTTTGGTGTTTGATGTTTGGATGGGGTTTCTGTGTGGACAACTTTTTTGTTAATGTTGATTTTATTCGTGTTTGTTAGTTTTCCTTCTAACAGTTAGGCCTCTCTGCTGCAGGTCTGCTGGAGTTTGCTGGATGTC